ACAGAGGGTTATTTTAAAACGTTTTTGAATATAAAAATCATCAAGTCACGTGACAACCACAGCCAATATAAACATGTGGTGGAATAGCAGGTATCAGAACTACATTTTTTTCATTGTTTGGCTTTCATAGAGAATGCAATGCTACCTAAAAATGACCACTTTTAGAAAGGGTTAACGGGGACATAGGAGCATTTGTCCCTTCAATATATATTTTGGGATGAGGCAAGATCCCACCAAAAGTAGACCCTATGTGCAGGGAGTACATGATACTCTATTAACTGTTGTACTTACACAGCGATCCCAGTGTTTGTAGTGTGAACATGTGTTTTATTTTCAAATGAAAGCGTTGTCCCTAGAAGAGCCGAGTGCAGGGATTAAATCATAATTAGAGATCTCATTGCTATGTTAAAGTTTCCTCAAATAAGTTATTCACTTATTTTTTTATTATTATTTTAACGTAAAGGTTATCCAGACGTTGTGGGTAAATGAATAGTTTCATAAAGTCACGAACCTTTGCAATAACCTGTTTCACTAAAAACCAAAGAGCGGATTTGTTTTTGTTTACATTGACATTTTATTATTCTCCTAATAAACGATTTACTTGCGTCTTCGTTTTTATTGCGTTAACGTCACTTTAGTTTTTATTTTGTGTCAGTATAACTATAAGGAATATATATGGTTCATTGTAACTGTGTTGAAGATGATACTTTTAAAGAAACTGAGAGTTGTGTCCTCACCACAGTTCTTAACAAGTTGGCGTCTATAATAACAACCATTTCTACGCAAAATATTCATATAAAAGATCGAGTTTAAACATTTCAAGAGGGGTATATCCCTTATACTTAATTATATCGGAAAACAAAGGAATATGGATCAACTTGAGCCACCAGGACCATCCAAATAGAGACCTACAACAAGTCGTGCCCCAGCAGTGTTAAGTAACGTGCGGCGTTTTATAAATGGTGAGAATCTACGAATACAAAGATCAGTGGAAAAATCCGTCTAGATGTCAAAGGCAACAGTACTTAACATAATCAAGAATGATCTCCGTCTAGAAAAGCAACACAAGTCACGTGTACACAAGCTATTTCCACGACATATCAATTGAATCATCTCCTACCTCAAGCAGCTCGATAATAAAACTGGTTTTCATGCTATTTAATATAAAGACATGCTGCTTAAATCTCTGAATGCACCGTCTATGGATTTCTGTGCGAGCAGTTGAAATGAATACTAGAAAACCATTGTATTTTTACAATCTATTTATTATGGAAAGCTACAAGGAGGATGAGTATGCTATGAACATGAAAGCCTTATAATGGAGTCTTTTGCATTGGAAGTATGCTACAGGACTATTGTCAAGATGCACGGTTGTCAGATAGAGCATGACCGGACGTGGAAACATGGATTGTAACGACGAGGTGAAGCTCCAAAACCGTTGTAATATAACGTACTCAACCACCGTATAAGCAGCGAATTGACATTTAAACATCGAAATTCAGCCTGCAAACTGGGAATACAAATATATCAGATCACAATATTGCGCTCACTTCTTTCACTTTTTGTAGTATGTCGCATTTTTCCTAAGAAATTAATTTAGTTTTCAATTGGCGAAAAAGTGGCCTAGTGAACTCTTGACATTTAATGCTGATTAAGTAAGAGTATAAGAATCAGTTACGAACGAAAGTATAAACATTGAATGAAATTGTATACACTTATAATGTAAGAATATTTAATTACATAATTAGCGTTTCATTTTAACGTATCTTGCTGAAATGTAAAAATATTTGGTACAAAAGTGATGCTTAATTGGTAGAATCGACAAAAAGGAGCAGATTGAGAAGGGTAAAGTTGATTCCAACTTGAAATTTCTTTGTATTCAACTGTTTATTTAACTATAAGATTAGCGCACCAGTGGTATTAACAATTCTTTTTATCATCAAATCTATCTAACTAAATTTTAATGCTTTTCCACATATTTAATGTTACTAAGTCTGATCTTTTGTTAGACAATGGGCTATCTATGCTGTGCCCAGCCGATCTTTAGCATTATAAGCCCTCAGACTTACAGCTTCTCATTGTAAGCACTTCTCACTTCTCATTGTAAGCCACTGGTAGATATACCATACTACTGATTTGACTCTCACTTCTCATTGGAAGCCACTGGTGGATATACCATACTGCTAATTTGGCTCATACTTCTCATTGGAAGCCACTGGTAGATGTACCATACTACTGATTTGGCTCACACTTCTCATTGGAAGCCACTGGTGGATATACCATACTGCTGATTTGGCTCATACTTCTCATTGGAAGCCACTGGTAGATGTACCATACTACTGATTTGGCTCACACTTCTCATTGGAAGCCACTGGTAGATGTACCATACAACTGATTTGGCTCACACTTCTCATTGGAAGCTACTGGTGGATATATCATACTACTGATTTGGCTCAAACTTCTCATTGGAAGCCACTGGTGGATATACCATACTACTGACTTGGCTTACATTACTTTGGGGAAGTCACTGGTGAATATGCCAGTACTAATTTTGCTCACACAGCTCACGGGAATCCACTGGTGTTAGTTTAATTCTTTTAACTCCGTTATAACGCCAGAATTACGTTTTCTGTGTGTGTAAGTAGTACATATAATGTTTAGTTATTCAGCAATACACACTAGAAACAGTACGAGTAAAGTCACCACGTGTTGTATATAAGCCATTAAAGGTAATTATAACACGAGATGCGACACAGTGATTTTCTTCAGTTGTCACATTTGAAGTTGGTTCTCTTATTCTTGCCAACGTTCAAACAAAAATGTTGATTTGACATTGTTTCAAATTGTAAGATAGGAAATGTGCAAGAAACGTTCAATAGGTATACGAAACATTGATGGCAATGCACTTCAGATTACAAAATTGTAAGATAGGAGATGTGCAAGAAACGTTCAATATGTATACGAAACACTGATGACAATGCACTTCAGATTACAAAATTGTAAGATAGGAAATGTGCAAGAAACGTTCAATAGGTATACGAAACATTGATGGCAATGCACTTCAGATTACAAAATTGTAAGATAGGAAATGTGCAAGAAACGTTCAATATGTATACGAAACATTGATGGCAATGCACTTCAGATTACAAAATTGTAATATAGGAAATGTGCAAGAAACGTTCAATAGGTATACGAAACACTGGTGGCAATGCACTTCAGATTACAAAATTGTAAGATATGAAATGTACAAGAAACGTTCAATATGTATACGAAACATTGATGGCAATGCACTTCAGATTACAAAATTGTAATATAGGAAATGTGCAAGAAACGTTCAATATGTATACGAAACATTGATGGCAATGCACTTCAGATTACAAAATTGTAAGATGTTTGTCTAGGTTAACAGCCAATACGATCACCTAGGTCTATATATTCGTTAAATTCTAATTCTGAGTTTACATGCTATATAATAGCCATAGAACGATCTAATGGTTAATGTGCCAGAACGTGGATCCGAGATCCCGTATTTCGTACCCGTTATCTCAAAAAGAAAGATTGTTCTGTTATACAAGTGACGTTCAAATACCATTATTCGATTACAGTAACTGATGGCTTTGTCGTGGGTAGTGTTTGTCTAGTTGCCTTCCCTGTAGTTTATCATTTCAAAAATTAGAGACTGTTTGCGAAGATAGTTCTCGAGTAGCTTTACACAAAAATTCTAAAACAAACAAATATAGGCTACTAACCATGGCCAAGACTGGTATTTGATCGCCACAATCTTATCGCTTTGTTTGTTTTAAAACAAAGCCACATTGGGCTATCTGCTGCGTTCATCGTGGGGGAATCGAAACTCGGATTTTAGTGTTGTAAGTCCGTAAACTTATCGCTGTTCCATCAGACGACCGACCGTATAGCAAGTACAAAATATTAAGACTTACAATAACAACAACGACGAAAAAAGATGTTTTCCTTATTACGTATTACAAAAGTGTACGTTTGCCAATATTTTATGTTTTATTGTTCGCTCCAAGTAATATTACAGTGTAGTGCAGTGTTTTCCAAACTTTATGTAGTAGCGCCCTCAACTAAGTATTATTTTTCTCGGAGCCTCCCTCCTTCATTCAATACCCACACGCCAGCCTAGCAACAAAGAACACTACCAAACAGGGTTGTCAACTGGCCTCCTGGTGGGATTTAATTATTATTATTTTTGTTACATTATAAGTTTTAATTTCGTAAGCCTAGTTTATCTCGTCTTCGTTTTTTCTGCTTCTTCCATTGTTATTTTTTGGTTCTCTCTTCCCCGCTAGGAAGGCGCACCCCAAAGTTTGGAAACCACTGGTGTAGTCGATAAACATGTAACTGAAACTCGCGTGTGTGAAAAACAAACGACAAATGTATAAATACATGTACATTACAGCAGGCTAACCAACCGGTAGTTTTATTCGCTCTGACAAAATCTCCGGAAGGAAAAAGATTAGGCCTGCAGTTCTGTGAAATTATAAACTACTAAAAATGTATTTAAATGTATAAGATATAAAAACATTTTATCGTGTTAATTAACATATATATATATAATTATAAATTTAGATAAGAGTTTTGATTAAGTAAAATCATAACTATTAATGTCAATATCAACTTACCAATACATATTTGATTTTTGGAAAACATGCCGTATAAATTAGTAGAGTGTATACAATTTATACGAAAAAGGAACGTAAAAATAATTATTCACTAAAACATATTAATAACCAAATTCACTTCTTTAATGTTACAATTACATTCAAAATATTTTGTATATTTTTAAGATCTTTGGTGACATATCGAGCAGAAATACAAATCATTTGTAAGACACATACGTCGATTTTTTGTGCATAGTAAAAGCTACGCTCACATTGTCAACGCCAGAGGGCGTACTATAAAGTCAACAGTTATTCCTATCAAGTTTAACAAGCGTATTGATTTAAAACATGTTACTGTTAGGGTAGTGAGTACGCGCGTGTGACAAGGATAGGAGGGATACAAATCTTGGAACAGTACAGAAATAGAAAATAATCAAATTATGGAGGAACTCAGAAAGAGTATTGAAGAGAAAGAAAAATTAATAATGAAACAATTTATAAGGATTAAAGAACTAGAAAACGAAACGATGCTTTTAAAACAGGAAAAAGATGCATTATTCTGTGATATTAATAAACTTAAATTTGAACTTGAAATGAGCGAAATTAAGAGGCTCAAGAATACTAGGTAAGTCTTAGTTTCATGTTATTGTATTGTAAACAATGGTTCGTTAATGAAACTGCTGTCCGTGATAGTAACCCAACGTTACTACTGGCAATTTCGTTGCCAAAGTAGATACTCGGCGGCACTGAAGACGCCCTAAAGCCGCTGGGTTTTTGAAGGTTTACTTCGCGTGTATTGGTCATCAGTGAAGAGCACAAGAGTATTTGTAAATTTGTCTACCCTAAGGGTTCTAGACGAGAGATCTGATTAATGGCGATGTGTAGCATCTATAGTTTTGGTTTTTGAGAATAATATAATATTCCCTCATTTATTTCATACTTTTTGTTTTAAGAATAAAAAAAAACAAATAATTAATAGATAAAACGTTAAGTTACTTATGCAAAGGCCAAATAACCGAGCGAATAATTAATTGATCGGGAAAAAAACATTCAAGTTTGGACTAATCGAAGAACATCTGAGTAATACTGTTGTCAATTAGTTGATTAAACGTTCATTTTGCGATAATTGTATGTTACGTAATTCTTTACTGTTTGCGTATAGTTAAAATACTTTTTTCTGATATAACTTACCACAACTTACCATTAACAGAAAGTTGTTGCAGATTAACTTATGTTTCATTAATTTTGTCAATTTTACCTCATTTTTAAGAGTATCGATAAATTAAGGAACACCTTTTTCAAGTCTCAAAAATATACATTTGTCGGGATTATATTGATTGTTCTTCTTAAGTAATGAGAAACCCGTCATTATAAAAAATAAAGTGTGTTAAGTGAATTTTGACCAAAACTATAACGCATTTTTAAATAAGTAGTTATTTCATTGTAAACGTAACCAGATCTTAGTACTTGAAAGCTATGTGTATATGTTTGTTAAAGACATCTCTGAAATTTGGAGATCGCCGATATATGTTATTCGAAGCACTTAGTTATATTGACAGGAGAAGACAAGGCCTTAAGAATTAAGATTTCTTTAAAGCGGGAAGTCAAGTGTTAGTTTTTACATGAATGTAATCGATAAAATATTAACTGGGTTTAACGTTTTCAGAAACTCTACTTTAAAGCGGGAAGTCAAGTGTTAGTTTTTACATTAATGTAATCGATAAAATATTAACTGGGTTTAACGTTTTCAGAAACTCTAATTAGAGTTACTGAAGTAAAAACCGAAAATCCAGAAAGGTGCAGGAATGCTTCTGACTCACAGCCGCTGGGAAATCCAGATAATATAACATAAGAAAATAAAACAATAATAATAACCCGGCGTGGCCTAGAAGTTAGCGTGCCGGACTGTTAATACGAGGGTTCATGGCTCTCGTCCTGTTGTCGCAAATTCGCGCTCCGTACTTTGGACCTGTGGATGTGTTATAGACGTGACAGTTAAATCTCACTATTCGATTATTGTAGCCAGCTAATGAATTATATAAAGGCGTTATTGACTAACGTCCATCCTTAGAGTCTTTCAGTTCAAAATTAGAAAGCATATAACCATTGTATAGTTTTGCGCGAACATCCGAAACTAAACAAACAAACATTTCTTTTGTGATGTAGTTCTGTTCAGAGACTCTTGATCATCCGCGTGCGAATAAGGAGAGTCGTTCATATCCAGTTAATGGCTCTGGAGCGTACACTTAATTAACAGTCCAAAATGAAGATTATTTGGACAGAGAGCTAATTAGCTATGACTTAAGTCACGTATACTTGCGTGGAAGCGTGAACGAGGATTTATATATATATGTATGTACAAGAAACAACTTAGAGAAAGTATTTTGCTTGTTTTTAAATTATAAATGAATGGGGAAAACGATTAGTAATAGTAATACGATGCTTTATGTTTTACTGACAACACAAATGATGATAAATACAGGAATTTCAAATATATTATTATGCGTATCAAACCAGTGGCGGCCCGGCATGGCCATGTGTTTAAAGAGCTCGATCGCAATCTGGGGGTCGCGGGTTCGAATCCCCGTCCAACCAAACATGCTCTCCCTTTCAGCCATGGGGGCGTTATAATGTGACGGCCAATTCCACTATTCGTTGGTAAAAAAGAGTAGCCCAAGAGTTGGTGGTGGGTGGTGATGACTAGCTGCCTTCCCTCTATTCTTACACTGCTAAATTAGGGACGGCAAGCGCAAATAGCCCTCGTGTAGTAAGTAATACAGGCTAAATTTGGTAGCGGCTATCGCTTTTGGGCTCAAAACTTTCGGCGCCCAATTCTAAAAATCATATCATGAAAAGTTAGGCCAGAAATGGAAAAAATTATAAAAAAGTAAAATAAATAATAATAAAAACAAAAACAGAATTTTTCTCTATATCACGTCTTTTGGTAGTTTGTTTTATCCCAAAACCCGTCCAAGTTGATGCACATAAATATTTAAAAGTATCTAAGTTTTTTAAGTGCTACTATAATATGTGGTGTACACAGATACTATTATCATCACCGTTTTAACTTTCGTTTATTTGTAATTGGCGTTATTTATTATAAATAACGCTTTTAAACTAATAAAGTACAAAAAACATTACGTAACATTTTTTGGGGGCAAATATACTCAGAACGAAACTAGTTCCAACAATCAGAACTAGCACAATTATAACTTAAATTTAAGGTACTCTTTTGGAACACACAACTTATTAAATTATTATTATTTGCTGGACAAAAACGTGGATAGATATAATCATTTAGCAAGAAATTATGTTTTAGTGAATCGTTAAAGAGGTTATGATGATGATAG